CGCCTGGGGGCTGCCTGTGCCCGGGGGGCAGGGCAGGGTAAGCCCCGTTCCCCCGAGCCCCGCTGCAGGTGCAGGTGGGGATCCGCTCCCTGCCAACGGCAGCGTGAGCCCGGGAGCGGGGGGCCACGGGGCCGGGAGGGAGCCAGAGCATCCGCGGGTGGATGGAGGCAGCGCTGGGCTCTTCGCATCTCCCACGACCGCTCAGCGGCGCTTGTTCTGCAGGCTCGGTGCTGTGCCTTGGCTGCTGCAGCCAGCACTCGCACAAGGTCACTGGAAGGGACAATAGCGCTCGGGGCAGCTCTGTAGGGAAACCTCCCAAGGCTCTGCTCCTCTTGGCACAGAGGTCTCCCCTCTTTGTCACACAGACCGGGAAAGGGGACAGGGATGCTGCAGCTCAAGCACACGTGCACAGACATCACTGTGCTGCCTTTGTCCTGCAGCTTCAGCTTCTCACCTGGGCCTGGACCAGAAAATCCAGCCTCTCCCTTGCTTCAGGCCATCACCCACTCCTGCTTTCGAGGCTGTTTCTGGCCTGAAGAGGGGTTACATTGACTTCCCTACAATTACACCAGCTCCACCACCCCAAGGGTGAGCATCACTGTGAAGTATGGCTCAAAGCCCACAGCTGGTGAAGGGGGGCACATGATTAACCTAGGAGGAATAATTTGTACCCTGGATCTGTTGTGAGCAGCCCGAACAAGCTTGGCCAGCGCAGGAATTAGCCCCCAGGTTACGTGGTACATCTTGTTCTTGTAAAGAAACATGCTCAGGGATGGATTCACCTTTGGAGGACCGCATGTACTTTGTGACAGCTCTGTGCTGTGAACCCCAGAGCCCTCACTGCCACGTCGAGGTCTGGCTGCTGGCTAAGGGCAATGCAAGGATGAAGAAAGGTTTTGTCCTCTCAAAGGCCTTTGGTTGGTGGAACAGGCACTGGCTGGAGGGTTATGGCAGCCCCTGGGTGGCCACGTTCTGAACACAAGGTTTGGCCAAAAGCCTTTAATAGATGTATATCAGAGCGAACAGACACATTTACACCATCATATGATGTATGTCTCATCATACACATGTATATACATCAGCTGTTACAGCTCTCCTGCCAGGATGTGGTCTCCAGCACTGTCTGCCCTCCCTGGAAGTGCCCTGGCATGGGGCTGGGGGTCTCTTGCTGCACCCCCGTTATGCTCAGCATAGAGGTGATGTGTTCCCCCACTGGGTGCAGCCCCCAGAGCCATCCAGGCCACGTTCCAGTTTCCAATTCCCTTGGTGCACACTGGGGACACCGGACCTTTGCGCACTATTAATAACGTGCTGAGATGTGCCCGTGCCTCCGAAACACTCCTGTAACATACCCAAGGGCTTGAGCTGCAGCAGGAAATGGTTGCACCAGCACGTCCAGCTTCCCTGAGCCTTGCTAAAGCCTTTCCAATGAGAACCTGGGGTCAGCATTCCACTGCAGAAGGCACGCAGGGGTCCCAAAAGCTGCCTGGACGGTGGCAGGACAGGGCCTCCAGTGCTTTCCTGGGATGCTTTAGTGACTGGAGGCTCTTCTGTTAAGGAAGTTTGTAGCTGGGATCCAGCTTTGCCTTCTGAGAGCTGGAAAATTCAGTTGCCACTTCCAGAGAGGTCAAAGTTTCCTCTCTCTGCTGAATTTTGCCTTCCAATGAATTGCCTTTGGACTTTGTGGCTCACCATCCAACGAGGGCCGACTCCTTTCTCCCGTAGCACTTCAGGCTGTACAGGCACAGGGATGACACAGGGGTGCTGTGAGGACTGAATTCCTCTTTATGGAACGCTGGAAGCCAATGGTCACTTTGTGTGCCCAGCCTCAGCCCCCGGAATGGGGCCGTGTCTGCCCCATTCCGCTCCAGCCTCTTGATCTAAGTGACCCACAGACCCAGACCCATCGTGCTGTGGAGCCTGGAGAAGGCTCAGGAGGGATCTTAGTGTATATAAGTGCATGAAGGGAGGGTGTAAAGGCAGAGGCAGGCTCTTTGCAGCGGTGCCCAGTGCCAGGACTGGAGGCACAAACCGAAACATGGGAGGGTCAAGCATGGTTTTACTGTGAGGATGCCTAAGCACAGGGGCAGGATGTGCAGAGAGGCTTTGGTCACCCTCCTTGGTGATGTTTAAATGGCATCTGAACGTGGTCCTGGGCACCTGGCCCTGCTTGAGCATGGGTTGGAGCAGGGATCCTTTCCAACCTCAGCCACCCTGTGACTGTATGGAAGCTACAGCCCCAAAACAGGGGCTCCCATCACCAGCCTCTGGGGACAGTTCCCTGTGCATGGGGAGAGAGCCACAGCCACAGAACGAGCGTCAGCCCCTCACTGCTGCCCTCAAGGTGCCATTCAGCCCAGTGGTGACCAGAGGAAGCCAGGAGAGCTGGAGGAGATCCCACTGCAGTGTGCAGAGTCAGCCCGCGCCGGGCAGAGGGACGAGGCAGGGAAGAGGTGACTGTGTCCCTTCCCTCAGTGCCCTGCATCATTTCCATCAGGAAACAGGGTGTGTGGTGGGGAAAACCTCTTGTGATGCATGTGAGGAGAGTGCTATGGCCCGTGGCACCTGCATGTGCGTGTGTGTCTGCACATAGATGGGTGCTACAGGCACATCCCTGCTCCCGAGTACTGGGGGAGGCTTGGCAATGGGAGAACTGGGCTCTCTTCTGGTGCAGACCCTCCATGAAACACCTCATACAGAGGGGGGTCTCACACACGTCCTAGGGACGGGTCTGCCCTGGGTGTGTGGAAGTTGTGCTCTCCCAGCCCCAGTGATGCTCTGCATGGGGAGGCTTTCGCTGGCGCTGAGGGCTGTGATGCAGCGGTCCAGAGGAGATGCATCCGGCTCCTGCTCAGGCGCCTCCTGATCATTTCAGTCTTGTTTTCTGGAGGTGTTTGTGGCCTCAGCCCTTAGGCTCTGTCTGTACTGCAGGAAGCAGAAGGGATTCAGTTATCCCTGGCGGTGATGGGAAGCATGGCACATGGGAGGTATGTGTGAGGCCTTCTCCCCTTCTGCAGAGCTGCTTGGCTGTTCATTAATGGGAGCCCTCCCATTTGTGAATAAGAGCTCCCTTTTTGGGAGCCTCCCTCACAGAGCCTCTGGATTGTTCCCTACCCAAATTCAGTTAAGAAACCCCTGGTTGTAAACCACCAAGGGCCTGCCCTAAGCCTCTGAGATCACTTTGAGATGCCATCAGAGCATCTCCTTCCTGCTGCTGCCCCACTCTGGCGCCTTGTACTGGGGCCTTTGCTGGGTGCAGTGGGGAGCAGTACCAGGCAGCCAGGGGTGGGTTCCCATCCACACCCCATGGCACCACGTTGTCCCCCAGCCCTGCTCTGCTGGGAGCCGGTGCCTCGGGTGCAGGTGGCCTCATTGCTGAGATGAGGGCTGCTTTCAGGAGGTTCCTTGGAGTGGAGCTTTGTTTGTGTAAATATTTGGACGTTCCTGGGGATGATTATGGAGCAACCTGCACCTCATGCATATTCAGAGGCCTCCAGCCATCGCCTCCTCTCCTGCACGTGGGAGCAAGGCTGGGGCCCTGGATGTGGGAGAGATGTGTGTGTAGGTGATGCTGCTATGGGCGATGCTGGGGGAGCCCATGTCAATGTGCCCATGTCACTGTGCAGGCAGTGCTGTCCCCAAAGCAGGCAGTGGGAGGAGGTACAAGGGCTGAGCACAGAGCCTGGGCAGCCTCATGGCTCCGCAGGGAAGGTTAAGAGCCATTTAAAGCAGATGCAGAGGCTCCAGAGCTGCTTGCTTCCAGTTCTGCTTTGCATCATGCATCCCCGTCATCTGGGATCCTCCTATCCCCCATGTTCAGCCCACACGGACCTGCCTTCCTTTTTCTACCCTACAACTCCCCCACTCCATCCCTGCCATTTAACTGCTCTTCCCAAGTTAACCCGGGTCTTTCAAGCAGTTCAGCATCATCACAAGCTCGATCTCCATCACCTCATTGCACAAATGAACCCAGTGGAGACTTCTGGCTGCTCCTGTGCTGGGATTTCTTGCTGTCCATCTGCTACAGGCAATAACTGCTGCCTGTTGCTTGACAAGGGTAAGGGACCCACATCCCATCTCTGCCAGTTGCTCCCTGAGGATGGGTTCAAGGCATGCTTTTGGGTGCTACCTCCATGGCTGTAAATATGTTCTGCTTTAATGTAGAATCCCAGACTGGTTTGGGGTGGAAGGGGCCTTAAAGCTCATCCAGCTCCAATCCATTGCCATGAGCAGGGACCCCTTCCACTGGAGCAGCTTGCTCCAAGCCCCTGTGTCCTTGAGCACTGCCAGGGATGGGGCAGCCACAGCTTCTCTGGGCACCCTGTGCCAGCGCCTCAGCACCCTCACAGGGAAGAGCTTCTGCCTAAGAGCTCCCCTGTTTCAGTTTGAACCCAGTCCCTGATGAAGATCCCTCTCCAGCATCCCTACATGTGAAACAGTAGGTGAAAGTATGTGAAATAAATAACATGTGGACAATGTGATTCTTGTTTTACCCTGAGGGATGGGCCACGAAGCAAAGCAGCATCCCCTGGGGCAGCACCATGCAGTCACCAGCATGGGCAGTGCTGCAGGGAGGACTTCTCTCGCTCCTGTGAGGCACCACGTTCCGATGGCACTTGGTGTGCTCACAGGAGCAGAGCGTTCCTGACCTCTGCCTGTGGATGTGAAAGCCTTTGTGCCCTTTACATCTCTGGGCAGTGACAGCTCCGGCCTCACGCTGCCTGCCCTTCATGTTACTTCCCATTCCACAGCTGATGGGCTTGGGCACAGCGATGTGTCCGGAATGTGGCACGAGTCCCAGCCGTGATTTCAGGTTTCTGTACTTCTCTACCTCACTCTTTGCCAATTCCTCTGCTGATTTAAGCCCCCAAAAGCCCCTCTGCTCGCAGGGATGCTGGTAGGAACTCGAAGGAATGGTGTTAAAGCAGCCCCTGCTGCTGGACGGGCAAACTCTGCTCTTCTCCGCTGACGCTTTTCCCTCTTTCTGTTCCCTGCAACAGGCATCATGTCCATTATGTTATCCCATACGACGGGGATCAGTCAGTGGTGGACTCCTCGGAGAATTACTTTGTGACTGACAATGTAACCAAGCAAGAGATTGATCTGATGCTGGGACTTTTGCTGGGCTTTTGTATAAGCTGGTTTCTGGTGTGGATGGATGGGGTTCTCCATTACGCAGTGCGAGCCTGGAGAACCAGCCGACGGTATGGTAAGTGCATCCCTGTGGGCTCCCTTCTCCTCCCTCAATCCCTTGCCCTGTCCGCTGAGGCTGGTGGAAAGGGAGGAGGTGGTCTTGTTCCATGGGGATTTTCCTGAGCAGCCACAGCCCAGCCTTCTTTATCCAAGCAGGAATATATCCATGGATAGAGTGAGATCCTCGCCTCGAGGGCTGTGCTTTGGGAAGTGTGAAGCTTGTGTTGGTGCAAAGGGGGGTTTGCTGGAAACCAGCATCAGCAGGTTGGCAGATGGTGGCTGTGTGTGTCTGCACATGTGGGCAGGGTAGTTTCAGGCCAGACAAAACTTCCCTGAAGTGCGGATTTTTCCATGCATAGGATTTGCAGCCAGGCACATCCTTATGGAGTGCAGCCTCTGGTTGCTTGTATAAACTGGGAACAATGTGCTGGCAATGACAGACACGGCTGTGTTGTGGCAGGAACACATCAACTGAGGTTTTCCCATCCTCTCTGCTGTTCCAGATGTGTCTTCTTTTAAGTAGTGGCATCAGCCTGGGTGTTACTGTGCTAACATAGAGTGTTAGCTGTACTGGTTAGCCTTTGGACCAGTTAGTTGAACTAAGATCCTGGGAATGACCAACAGATGCTCCTTCAGCGGCCCTCTCTGCCCTCTTTGCTCCCTTAGCCTCAGCATCCCAGGGACTTCAATCGTTATAGGGGGAAAAAGACAGAAAAACTATTGAAATAGCAAATTACTTATAATTCCATAAGAGCTTACCTGCAAATCTCAGCCTCTGACTCTGACGGATGGCGTCTGTCAAAGTGCAACTCAGAGGAAAAGGAGAGCAAGCAAGAGAAAGATGAATCTGTAGGAAATTCTCATTATGGAAGGGGACAATCTCTTTCTAAAAACCCAGCTCAAAACGCTATTAATTCCTCATTAGTCTTCCCAAATCCCCAGCAGCTTGAGCAGCCCCTGAAGCGGGGCTCTCTTGAGGCTGCGCTGCTGTCGTGGCCCAAGCAGAAGGCCAATTGCCAGGCTTCCCAGTGAGATCTAAGGTGTCGGAGCCAATCTTGAGGCTGTGACACCCGGTTGGCACCAGACCACCCGTGGCTGCGACCTCATCCCCCTCATGAAGTCAGTAGGGCCTTGGGTGAGATGCTACGGTGATGCTGCTCCTAAAGGCACTAAATGCCTTTCCTTATGGCTACATCCATGCTGTCACCCTCTGACCTCCCTTCTTGTGTATGGATACTGCATAGACTTTTAGTTTTAATAATTAATGGTAATGCTAGTAATTAATTTAGTAGTTAAGATGAATGATCTTTTTTGCTTTCTCCCTGTGCATGCATATTCTAAGGGTTTAAGAAGGGGTTGGCCAGCACGCCGCGCAGATACATCTTACACAAAGAGAACGCAGTTTTACTTTGCACCCAGCTTTTTCCTCCCTTCACAACCCCATTGGCAGTGCCCCTGCCATGATGCAGAAGGCTGACACCCCTTCTGCCCTGAGACATTGTCTCTGAGTGCTGTTTTAGGGGTGTTGCACCAGCCACATGGGCCCAGTCGGCTCTTAAACCAGGTTGGTTGTTCCACAGCCATGTGTTTGCACTGTCCCCAGCTCTGTTGCCCTCACAATCAAACATGTGGCAGAGGAGACCCTGGAAGCCCTCCTCATCTGACCTGATGGTGAGGTTTCCAGTGGGACATGATGTTTTTTCCCAGTAAGGGTTTTTAAGGTACATTTCACTAAAGACAGGCTGAAAAATCACTGGGGAATGTCAAGCTTAATAATGAACCTTGAGCATTTAGGTATTGCCTGTTCATTCAGATCAACTCCATAAATCCAGCCGTTTTAAAGGCAATAAGCAGGAAGGGTAACTACTTCTTTGTTGAACAAGTACCTAAGCCAAGATTTCCCTTTAAAGCAAGAAATGATGCTGTGAGTGTGAGAGCTCGGGGTAGGGGGAGTGCAGAGCACTGTGCTGGTACAGGATGGAGAGCCCTCCCTGAAAGATGCGAGTAGCGCTCAGCAATGACTCAATGTCACGTTGTGGCCTCATCAGCTTGAATTTTGGTGTGTTCCAATAACCTATAGCTCCTTCCTGATGGAAGAGATGGCTTAAAATAGAAAACATTCCACAGAAACTCGGATGTCAGGTTGTACCTCATGGTAACTGCAGTGCTGGTCGGAGCAATCACATATCACCTCATGCTAGTTGAAATAGTTCAACTTTACACAATCTATTGCTCTTTGGGACTTGCAAATGCTCCTCTGTGGGTGCATTCCTGGGTGGAATGACCCAAAGCCCTCATGGCACTGAATGGCAGCTGAAACATTGCTATAGGGAAGGGTTTGGAGGCTGAGAGCTGACACAGGCTGTGGGACAGGCTGTTGTGTGAAACTGGCCCGTGTTTCAGAGGGCAGAAGCAAAGAGGAACAGGGATGCTGCTACGTGTGCAGCGTGGTCCCCAGAGCTGCTCCCTGCTTGCTACAGCGGGGAGCAGCCATCACTGTGAGGTTACTGCCTCTGCTGAACCTTGTTCTTGCTGCCAGCCTGGCACAGAGCATGAGTGAGGCACAACGGGGGCTGGAGAACAGGGCTCAACACAACGGGTTGGCTCCTACCACGAGTAAGAAGCTGGGGTTTGCCTCTTCCAGCTCCCACCCTCCCTGTCCTGATGGGGCTCTTGAAACAAGCTGCTCCTTGTGTTCTGCCTGCTCAGGGCCACATCTGAGGTGTGGATGTGGTTGTGTTCAGGGCTCCAGCCAAGGCATAAAGCCTGCTGGAGAAAAGGGCCTTGCCGTTCCCATCATCCTCATCTCCCTTCTTTCTGCCTTCCAGACAATTCCTGGTCTTGGATTCCCAAATTTTGTAACTTAAAGGAGTTCAGGAAACGTCACCACAGGCAGTACGAGGAGGCCACCGGGAACATGGTGCACATCAAACAGAAGCTGTACCACAACGGGCACCCCAGCCCACGGCACCTCTGAGGAACGCCTTCCCCTCCAGAGACTGCAGCGAGCTTTTGAAGAGGACTTTGCTCTTTTGGCAGGGGAACCAGCTACAGGTTTGCTCCTCTGTGGAAGCCAGCTGAGAACACGGTTCTACTCATCCACCCCGTGTGTCCCCGGGGCACACCAGGATGCACAACTAAGCCGGTCCTGGATGCTACGCAGCCAAGACATTGCACTGTGTTCCACGTTTTATTGTCAGACTTGTGTACATATGTAAAAAGCAAACAGACACAAAAGAGAAAAGAGATTTGCATTATACTGTCAGCCCCCTTTTCCTGCCAGTCACGGCTGTCCTGCACATCCAGCTACCCGACAAGGAATGTTGGCTGAGGGTATGGAGCTGGGACAACATGGAGAAGATGCAGAGTTTCTCATCCAGGAGCTTGAGTCCCCCTGTTCCTTTGGTCCTTCAGCTTGGTTTTGCTCTGCTCTGTTCCTTCCCTTGACTAGAATGGCTTGGCTGGGCCCAGGTTTGGAAGGGGACTGCTGCCCGCTGGTTGTGGAGGCACAGCATCCCTGTTGCTTTGGTTCCTGGTATGGGGCGTTGTTGGGGGGGGAAGGAAGTCCTGGGAGTGTATAACTGATCTGTTGTTTGCATTGCTGTACACTGAAACCTGCCTTAAGCAAGCCAAGACATCTCAGTACCAGGGGAACAGCACTGTAAGGGATCGGTCTGTCTAATGGGGCTGGTGCTGCCTGGTTTCCACCACTTTTATACTGGTGGCACCTGGCTGATGCCACTGCTGTTGTTCTTCACCAGTGCTGCAGAGGAGATGCTCCTGATGGGGGGGAGAAGTGTATTGAGTTGAACAATGTTGGATCTGACTCACACCCTGACCATACCCCTCTGCTCCATAAACCACCACCCACCCCTTGCCTGGAGGAAAGGAGCTGCTCTCCCCTCTGCTTCGAGGGTGAGCCCGAGGCCCGGGTTCGTACCACCCTAGGAATGAGGATAGAGAGGGTCCTGTTACCAGTCTTCACTCTTCCTGCACATGAACAGCCACCTTCTTCTTGTGTTCCTGCTCCAAGCTGAAATAACCTCAGCACCAGGGTGGGCTTGGCTTGAGGAACACAGAGAGATGTGGGCCTGGAGCTAAACTCATCCACAGAGCCCGTAATGGGTGGAATCAAAGAGCGAGGATGCTCTAACGTGGTTTTGCCTTTGCTTCCCCTGGTCACAGCTTAGGTGTGGGTTTCAAGGTAGCTCTCCAGTGTCTGAAACCAACCTCAACAGCCGGAGACCTCCTTCACTTGCAGTAAGAGTTGGCTGAATGTGTTGCTAAAGCCCATGTGCACCAAGACAACGGGGTGGTATCTGATTCCTGTAGCAGTCCTGTTCTGCTGGGGGACAGAAGCAATGCCCCAGCCTGCATTGCTTTGGCACAGGCTGGGCAGCAGGCAGCAGTATCCCTGCTAACTGAAGTGGGAAGAGAGGGATTTCATGGAGAGGAATAAGGGAGGGAGATGCTAGCCCCAAATATTGAAGGTGGTAGCCCTGCATCCCAATCATTTCTCCTTCATTCATCATTCTGTATTGAGTGGGCTTGTGTTTAAATGGGGAAAACATCCAGAACAAAGGGATGAGGAATACTACCAGATGCTGCTGTTTTCTTCTATGGATTCCTTGAATCTGTCAGTGGCCTCCTATTGTTTGATTGCTCTCCTGCTCTAGCAACTGGCCTTAGCTGAGCTATCATTAAATACGAGATTTCCAAGGTTAAGTCTGATCCATACTGGAACTGCAGAAGAACAGGAGGCTCTGGAATAGCGGGAAGAACATCTGGTGTGATATTCCCATTGTTCAGAACAGATTGGATTTAACCTGCTGTGCCTGCAGCTATTACCCTCTCTCTTGGTTGCACGTAGTCAGAAAATCAACCAAAACACCCTCTCGGTGCAATTGGGTTTACTGGGAGTAATTCCCTCGTCCTGCAGTCAAAGGAACCAGAGATACCCTCATAGGGCAAGGTTGTCCCAGCACTAAACCAATGGGATTAATCCTGGGGAACTGAACAGGGCTTTGAGTCTCATCCTGGATAAATAAGGGGAAAGTTGCTTCCTGTGCAGTAAGGTCAGGTCCTATTCCTGACCCGAAGGATCTGGTGCATCTTCTGTGCAGGAAGGATGTCAAGCAGATTCCTGGTGTGAGGTGCCCTAGGACACTGCTGTAGGTGTGACCCTCATCAGAGATCAGAATATGCCTGTTGCTGGGGTGGGATAACCTGACACACCAAATAAGGCTGCAGTATTCAAGGCCAGGTTGGATGGGGCTTGGAGCAACCTGCTCTGGGGGAAGGTGTTGGGGTTGGATGGGCTTTATTTAACCCAAACCAGTGATTGTATGAGCTCTCCCTGCACAGGGGCAGCCCAGGTCCCATGTGTTATTTCACCCATGGTGGTGTGCAGGAGACTGTTCCCAACAGCCAAGTGTCTGCCAATGGCTTCTCCATGGGGAGCAAAGCCCATGGAGCAGTTGTGTTGGGTACAGCAGAGCCAGGACCAGCACCGCATCCTGCTCTCTCTCTGCTTCACATCAGCACTGCTGCCCCTACCCCATCCTGCTCGAGGTGTGAGCCTCTCTGACGTGTGGCCTCTTGTTCCTGTGTCCAAGTGAGGTTGCTCCTGTTGCTCGCAGCGCGGTTGTCTGTAGTCTGCCGTCTTCTCCTGTGCATGCGTGTTCGTTTTGCTTCTGTCTGGTCGTGGGGGTGTTCTCTCCTTGTTTAATTGTCTGAGATGTTCTCGTGCCGACTCGTTTGTTGTTCTCCTGCCTCTGATCCAGTCTTCACACACAGTCAAAGAGAAACAACAACAGCAACAACAGCAACCCCCGAACCCAGCAGCAACCCCAGACAAGCAGGGTTCAGCTGGGAGGACGTGACTTTGGCATCAGGGAGTTGACACAACAAGGTCAGGGCTAGGCAGGCGCATGGTCAGGACGTGGGCAAGAGACAGCACAGGGATGCAGAGCATCCAGCTGGCAGCTGTGTCTGCAAAGGCAGCTCCATAGGGACAAAGGAGTGGGAAGCGTGCGCCACGTCTCAGCACTCATCCAACCAGATGCTTTGAGGGAGGCTTCTGCAGCCTCGGTAGTGTGTGTGTGTGTGTGTATGTGGGGTTTGTGCCGCCTCAGGAGGGGCTATTTTTAGAGCAGGGATGGAGCTCAGAGCTGGGATTGGCACTGGGAATGTTCTCCTGTGTGTTTGGTGTGAGGAGCCCAGGTTCGGCTCCCTGCACCCTGAACAGGATGAGCTGCATAGGAGAGGTGTGGGAAGGGAAATCCATCCTGTTAAGCTGGAGATCCTTTTTCCCAGCACTGCTGAAGGACGCCTTTACCCCTCAGTGCGATCCCTGAGGGCATCATGGAGCTAAACCCATTCCACACCGGCCTCTTTCTGTTCCTGCCACCTCCTTTCTCCCCAGTCCCGCTCCCGTGTGTGTGTGTCTGTGTGTTCAGATCCATGTGTGTCACTGCATGAGGCCCATTCCTCCTCTTTAGAGCCTCCCCTTCATTTCACTCATCTTTCCCAGCCAGATTGCCAGTTCCCATCCCTTCTCCAAGCTGAGCCCTGGGGTTCCCATGGAGGGGGGACACCGCAGGGATGGCTGCGAGGCGCTGAGCACCCGCAGCTCACAGTGACCAAGGCAGTGGGAACCCTTGCAGGGCAGAGCACATGGATCAGGAATAGGTGTCAATAGTGCTCTGCAGTGGGAATACAAGGACAGGACTCGGGGATGCTCTTTCCCTTGATCCTTTTACTTTGTTCTGCACTCAGACCAGGTTTGCATGCATCAGGCAGGAAGAGCTACAGCGCACGCTGGTCCTCACAGAGAAGGGAGGTGATGCTCTGCTCCAAGCCTAATCACAGCATGACCTTTGCTGTGATTGCAAAGCAATAATGGCCAATTTCTCTTACTCAATACACTTGCCCAGGCAAGGATCACCCACAGCAGCCTATGCTGGATGGGGGGGTGGGGGGGGGTGAGTGCTGTGCTGAGGCGAAGGGGAGCAGCGGAGAGCTCGGGGTGGTGGGAGGCAATAGTAAAAGCACACTGTGATTTCCCTTGGGTCAATGGGGGAGTGTGTTGGAGCCGGTCCTTCCCTTCCCGTCGGGTTGTGCCATAGAGGAACCGTCCAGCGCCGGGACCTTCAGCCCCGTCCTTTGCTGTTTGTCAGTAAAATAGTTTTTTGCATGTTTTGCATCTGAGTGGTTTTTCCAACCCTTTGGGGGGGGGCGTACCAAAACCTGCCGCCAGGAACCCGTCCGTTAGCATCCTTCATCCTGCTTCTTCATCCCCTGGAAGAGGACCTCGCGTGCACAAACAGAACAAGTCTGACACCGAGGTGAGCTTCAGTCCTTATGCACAAAGATGCTGATGGATGACTTGTTCCACTCGTGGAGATGCTGCATGAAAGCAGAGCAGCAGCAACCACCCCAAACCCAAGCAAAGCACCCCCCCAACAAGCAGAACCCCCCCAGCAGCAGCAGCAGGGTGCTAAAAGCACCCAGGCAACAAGGCAGGGAGCTGTTGTCATGGAACTGATTGACGGCTGCAGAAATGGCATCTCAGATTGTGTCTGGGGGTGAAACGTGGCCAGCAAGAGAGACGATGTGATCTGCTGGGATAGGACACTGGGAGGGAGGGCAGAGGCAGCCTGGGGACTCTGAGCCCCCTGCATGCTACTCCCCCAACAGTGTCTCATAGGCCGGTGATGCTGCAGGAGCTTCATTGCAGGAGATGCCATTTATCAGGAGGCATCACCAAGACTGGGTAGGGCTGAGCTGCCTTGAATCAGGGGAAAGAGAAGGAAAAGCAGCCCGGCTGCCCCAGGTCGTTCAAAGCAAGATCTGACCCTATCGACCCTTCACCATGTGCCCAATCTCTGCTGCTAGAGCTTGATAGGAAGAGGCAATGGGTAAAGCATCCTGGTGGCACCTACTGAGCATCCGGTTGAGTGAAGTCCTTTGGGTGCTCTTCTGCTGCAGCTCAGATGGGCGAACATTGCCTTATCCCAGTGCTTGAGTGAATCCAGAGCTCCGGGAGCCTGTGGAAGCACTGGCTCAGAAAGGCCCATCAGGAGAGCCCGGAGGCTGCAGGAGAACGGGGTGGGAAGGGGCATCCCCGGGCAGAGGATGCCTGGACCTGGCAGGCTGCTCCTTGGGAACACGGGGACGAGCACCCACGGGACATGGAAACTGCCACGTTCTTGTTGGGATCCCTCCAGCTGAGCCCCATCACTCACATCCGGGTGCCAGCAGCAGATGGGCTTCCATCCATCAGCAAAGAGCCTCCTGGTGCACCCAGGGGCAGGGGCTGCGTTACAGAGTGCACAAAGTCACCAAATTTGCCACTTTTAACATTAAAAACCACATAGGGGGAATAATAATGTAGCAATACAATGGGAGCAGGCACAGAGAGAGGGTTATAAAAGAACCCGAGTGGTTCTCCATCCAACACACAAACACAGGCTGGCAATGCACCGCGGCACCTTCCTCCCAGCCAGAAGTAAATACTTCAGCGATGGCAAGTGAGGATGGATGAATGTCCCCGCTGTAAATCTGCCTCCCAGCTGCAGCACTGGAGCCCAGAGCACGCTAGCAGGGCAGGGATGGGGGTGATGGATGCTTCCTCATCCCTCTGCCCTCAGGTTTGCTCTCCCATAGAAATCACTGCTCCAACAAAGTGCCATCAGCTCGCAGCTCAGCAGCTGCCATGGGGAGAGCCTCAGCCTGGGGTTGCTCCTCAGCATCCCTGCATGGAGCTCGCTGGGTGCCACCTCCACAGGGACATCCTTGATGCCGTGGGCTGACGGCAAAGCGAATGCACTGCGGAGGCTGGCAGGGGAGGCAGGGCCCTGCGCTGGAACCGGTGCTGAGGCTGGACCAGCGCTGGGTTCTTCCCTGCTGCCGTCCATGGGCAGCAGCACTGACAGTGCCCATGCAGCAGGGCATGAAACCCCGCAGCGAGAGGGGCAAGGAGTCAGGGCAGGCTTCATCAGCCCCATGTGGAACAGGATGAGGAGGAAGGAGGAGGGATGTGCAAGCAGGGAGAGAATGGATGGAGAGCTTCATTCCCTGTCACTCTTGGTTGAAGCAGCACTTTGGAGCCTGGCACCTACGGTAGTTCCAGGCTGTAGAAGTGCAGAGCGCATCAGCTACCCTTGCTCCCAACATTCCTGTGCCATGAACCACAAGGCTGTTAAGCTCCAACAATGGGATTATTTGGCTGGAACCTATCCCACCAGCTCCCAAAGCTCTGTCAGGAAAGAAACGGCATCAGCGTGTACAAGGAAGGAGGCACTCCATGCAGTGGGAAGAGATGGAGACAACAGGGTTGGAGGACAGGACCCAAGCAGAAGCTGCCCGCACCACCTCTACCACTCCTTCACCACTGGGGGTTGATAAGGGATGCATCCATAGTGCTGGGCTGGTGCAAACAGGCATCTCCTGCTGCCAGGGGTTGGACACAAAGCACGAAGAGCACGGGTGTGCAAAGCTGGTTGAGGAGTCTGAGGGCACAGCAGCAGCTCTGTGGGCTACAGGCCTGTTCCTAGCAGTGAGCTCCAAGTAGGAAGCACAGAAACATCTCTGCTCACCCCATCCCTGCTTTGAAAGGGCAATAAAGAAACCAGGTTTGAGTCAGGAGGGAGCAGCATCCCCTGGGGATGGGGGAAAGACCTTGATCCCTTGGGACACAAACAGCACCGAGCATCTCATCACACTCCAGAGCCACCGGAGCACCCATGTGTCCGTCTGTAACACACACAGCCCCTTCCATCGCACGGCCATGAGCAAAGCTCATCCATCCTTACGAGGGGCCATAAAGAGCCCTTGAAGCCCAGCTGAAGAGCAAAGAGCGGCCCTGAGGGCAGCCCCTGCTCCCGCTGTGCTCCCTGCTTGGAGCTCATTGCATCCCTGGAGCTGCAGCTCATCCCTGCTGCCCAGCGCTCCCTCTGCTTCCATGCAGGGTGAAGGAAGCATCACAACGCATTGCATGGCATGGCATGGCTGAGCCAGTGGCCACCTCTCCACAGCTTTCCAGCAGGATTCTCTTTCCCATCTACCCGCAGGAGCAGCACAAGGGAAGGACAAGACACTGCTCCCCTCCCTCCAGCTCCTTCTGTGCTCATGGA